AGCACCACATCAAAGTGAAATTGTTGTTAGGTGTTGTCGAGTCAGTTCTGACAATTAGTGAGCCTGTATAGGATTTCTGAGGAGCAGTTGATAGGTTTGAACCACTGATCATCTTGTAGTTAGAAGTCCAGTGCTAATCCTACAGCACCACACCAGGGTAGGATTGTTGTTGTTGTTAGGTGTTATTGAGTCAGTTCTGACTCCTCATGACCCTGTATAGGATTTCTAAGGAGCCACAGATAGGTTTGAAGCTTTCAGTTAACAGTCCAATGCTTATCCTATAGTGCCATACCAGGGCTCACTAGAAGAAAGTTAGCACCTCGAATGATCTGTGAAGTCATCGTTGCATATTTTTTGTTTGCTACAATATACTAGACATAAAAACTTTTACTGTGAATAAATACTTAGGGATTTCATTTCCAGTGATTATGGCACACAAATGCAAAAGCATATTAGGAAATGAATTACAAACTACTTGTGCATGTTATGAGCTGACGGAACAAAACTTTGTAAATTACTGACTATGCAAATATCTCTTTTACAATCAGTAAGTAGGAAATAGCAGCACTTCATAGGAGTCATTTAGGTAAATACCAGATGTAAAATTGATATTATTTTATGTAATTTACTGAGCCCACTATTTAAAAAATGATTGTGGTAAAATATGTAGAGGAAAACATTTACCATTTTAATCATTTGTAAGTCTACAATCAGTGATATTAATGATATTCACCATATTATGCAACCTTCATCACTGTTTATTCCCAAAGCCATTATTTTTTGAAATCTATAACATGTGCTATGAATAAAGAGGAAAAAGCTCAGAACCGGTAGCCTGGAAGCCTGAGTTCTAGTTTTGCTTCTATTGTAAGATAAGCTGGGTGAATACCAGTTTTCTCAACTCTGAAAATGGCATAACACTTCTCTTTTCCAGTCCACGTTATAGGATTTTGGTGCTGATCTGATATTAACAGATAAGGAACCATAAAGCCTTCGCACTCTGTTTCTCTGTCTTTCTTCCTCACGTATATACATATACTTTTTATTATCACTAGATAACATTTATCTCCTAAGAAAATGTAAACCCAGATTCACAGATTATTTTCTAGTAACACATTGCTAAAATATGTTTGAATGAAAACACCTTCTGGGTTGCAGTGGCTTTTAAAATTTCTAGACCTAGATTTGAATCCTACTTCCATATATTAGGAGCCTTGGATGATGGCCAGAAGGTTGGCGGTTCAAAACCTCTAGCTACTCCGCAGGAGAAAGGTGTGGCAGTATGACCTATAGGATCCCTATGAGTTGACATCAACTTGATGACACTGGGTTTGGTTTGGTTTGGGGTCCATGCATCAGAAGAAACTGAACTCACTGCAGATCTAATAATGAGACTACTTATAAAAATGTTGGAAGGGTCAAAATGAACAATTGAGATGTTGAGGTATTCAGACATTAGCATCAGTAGGGAGTCATTAACACCCTTAGCTCTAAAGGGACAAGCAGAGAAGATAGTGTTTCCGGAGCCCAGTGAAGTCTGGAACCAAGGAAGACGAGCCACTTGGCAAGAGGAAGACAACTACTTGCTAGAGATTCAGCCATAAAGGAAGGAAGAACTGGGAAATACATATCCCAAGTTTGCTCTTCTCGCACCTTTACATCTGACGGTGCCTCCAGTTGACCAAACCCAATTGGAAACCAGCAGACAAGGGAGCCTACAAGATGAACTCTTCAGAGGTCCGCTTCCCGGGCTACAGGGAAGGTCAGAGAATGATCTGTGCAGGAGAGATGGATAATAACCACAGACAGTGACTTAACCTTGTTAAACAAGTAGAGCTTATGCCTACCACTCAGTGATGTGAGAACTCAGTTATCAAATAGCACAGTACCTCACAGATGGTAGGTGTTTGAAATGGTCACTCGTTTACTCATCTATTTCCTGTTGTTGTTGTTGTTAGGTGCCATTGACTCTGTACCGACCCATAGCGACCTTATGCACAGCAGAATGAAACACTGGCTGATCCTGAGCCAACCTCATTACTGTTGGCATACTTGAGTCCATCGTTGCTGCCACTTGGCCAATCCATCTCACTGGGGTTCTTCCTCTTTTTCTCTAACCCTCCACCTTACCAAACATGATATCCTTCTCCAGTGACTGGTCCCTCCTGACAATATGTCCAAAGTATGAGTGACAAATTTTGGCCATCTTGGCCTCCAAGGAGCACTCTGGCTGCACTTCTTCCAAAATGGATCTATTGGTTCTTTTGGCAGCCCATGGCACTTTCAATATTCTTTTCCAACACCATAACTCAAAGCCATCAATTCTTCTAAGTCTTCTTTATTCACTATCCAGCTTTCACATTCATATGAAGTTATTAAAAACACCATGGCTTGGGTCAGGTGCACCTTAGTCCTCAAACTGATATATTTGCTCTTCAACACTTCTAAAAGGTCTTGCGCAGCAGATTTGCTTAATGCAATACATCGTTTGATTTCTTGACTGCTGCTTACTTGAGTGTTGATAGTTGATTTCCTGAGACATCTTTTAATAATATTCAGCTCTGTATATATACTTATCCAAACTTCGCCCTGACTTCAGATTCCGTCACATTGAGGTCTCTCTTATCTTCTGAGTCCATGGTGGTCTACTTTCATCTTCCTTTGAACTTTTTCTGTTTCTTTTTAAGATACCTGTGTTCGTGCTGTGAATCAGAAACATCTCAAAGGCAGTGGGTTTGATTTTCTTGATTTATGAAGTCCTGGTGTGGCGCTGTGGGATAAAACACTGGACCACAATGTTCGCACGAGGTCGGTGGTTCAAACTCACCAGCTGTTCCTTGGATACCCTATACTAGGTTGCTGTGAGTTGGAACCAACTTGACGGCACTTAAAAACAATTAAGTATTTGCCTCAGCTCCACTCCTTGTTCTTCTCTTTATCTGCTGTATGTACATTGGAGGGAGCGATATTTCTCAGATGCCTTTGTCTTCAGATTTCTGGGTAGGTTAACCAATAAGACACCAGTGGAAGCTGGAGGTATAATGAGGAGAAAAGCCAGGGTGTTTCTTATCCTTTCTGTGCTTCCTCTGATGTTCTGGCAGCAGCGGAGGCACTTCTGTGGGTCCATCTCCTCCTTACCTGGCCCCAGCTCATTTTGGGGCAGCTTCTTTACACTCTTCTCCCGCCAGTCAGTGCTGGCAGTATCACCCTCTCCTGCTGTCCCTCCAGCCCTACAACTAGTACTGGTTTCCAGCTGTTGCTCACCTCTGGTGAACTTACTGACCTCTGTTTAGCTTTCCATTATCACCTTTGCTAAATCCACTGTGTTGGAAATACTAGAAATGTTTCGGTTTTAATGACTGGATCATGTCAAATGTGTCCTATTTTACCAAACAAACTGATGTTGTCGTTAAAGTTGTTGCTAAGTGCTGTTGAGTTGGTTCTGACTCATGGCGACCCTGTATAGGGTTTCCGAGGAGTAGCTGGTGGTTCAAACTGACGGCATGGTCCAGTGCGTTATCCTGAAGCACCAGACCAGCACTTCCTAGCTTGATGTACCAGCCTAATTATCTTAGTTATACTGTTATGGTGTTTCATTGTTGTTGTTGTTATTGTTGCTAAGTGCCATCGAGTCAGCTCCGACTCATAGTGACTCTGTACAGAACTTCTGAGGAACGGCTGGTGGGTTTGAACCATCAACCTTTTGGTTAACAATCCAGTGCTTATCCTACAGCACCACACCAGGTTTTTGCTGTTGTTAAATGCCGTCGAGTGGTTTTGACTCAGAGCAACCCTGTATAGGGTTTACAAGGAGCAGCTGTGGATTTGAACTGCCAACCTTACAGGTCAAACCACACTTGTGGTCCAGTGCTTATCCCACAGTGCCACACCAGGACAAGATCTGATTTTGTTGCTATTGTTGTTGTTGTTAAGTGCCATTGAGTCGGTTCTGACTCATAGTAACCATGTATAGGATTTCTGAGGAGTAGCTAGTGGTTTGAACTGCAGACCTTGAGAGTAGCCATCCAGTGCTTTACCTTTAGCGCCACACCAGGACTCCAAATTAACAATGATTATTTCCAGCCAATGAATACACCATTTATAAATGTGATATTATTTTGTGAAGTAGTTATTGTCGTTAACTGCCGTCAAGTCGGTTCCAACCCATACCCACCCTGCGTAGGGTTTTCAAGAAGCGGCTGGTAAGCTTCAACCGCCGACTTTGCAGTCCAACAAATTAACTCACAGAACCACACCAGGACTCCTTGAAGTAGTTATTAGTGGATCCATTTTTCAGAAAAAGAAACTGAGGTCAAGGATCTTGGCTGAAAGCAGAGCATACCAGAAAGATGTTTAAAGGTGTCATTTTAAGCAAGTTTGTAACTGTTAAGTGTCATGGAGTCGGATCCAACTCAGACTTTCTGAGGCTTTAAATCACTGAGGGCATAGAAAGCTTCATCTTTCTTCCAGAGTAGCTGGTGGGCTTGAACCACAGACCTTATGGTTCGCAATGTTTATCATCTGGAGCCATTGTGCTCCCACTGAAATCATTAGGGGAAATAATAGACATAAGGAAACAGCTTTCCCTTAAAAACCCAAACCAAACCAACAAACTTTATGAAACCGTGGATATACATGCCATTGTGTTGACCCAATGGATCCTTGAAAGTTTTTTATGACAATGCTGTTTTAAAAAGACACTTGAATCAACTTGACCCCAAATGATGTGTGAGAAGGATTGTATTATTCTCAGTCAAAAGTGTGTCAGCCTACTTAGTTGAAATGCTGTATCTCTGAGGTTTTGTTCATTTGCATAACATTAAAGCGTTTGCCCAAGTAGGAATTAGTATGGCTTTGTATACTATTTGAAGATTTTCTTTGGGAACTTAGGTGCCTAAAACTTTTGTAAAGTTGGTTTACAAAGATAATTTTTTATTTACAAAGATAATTTTAAGAAACTAATTGAAGAGGTCAGTTGTTGCATTTTTTTTGTTTTTTAGAGATGACCTGGACAGGAAACTTCAGGCAATTGCTGTGTCAAAGCTACTGAAAAATAGCGCTCATCAAGTGATATTTCTGGGCTATATCACCTCAGCCCCTGGGTCCAGAGATTATCTACAGCTGATTGAGTATGGAAATGTGAAGGTAACACAATCTTAATGGAATTTCAGATTTCTTAAGTCAAACGCTTCTTTTTCATAATTAAAAAACAAAAAACTAATTCTACCCTTTAATGAATGTCCTAGCTCTGTCTATTGCTGTGGAGCAAACCACCACGAAACATATTGACTTGAAACAAAAGCAATCATTTATTTGCTCACAAATTTATAACTTGGACAGATGTAGCAGAGCCCTGGTGGCATAAATGGTTGAGCGCTTGACTGCTCACCAAAAGGTTGTGAATTTGAATCCACCCAATAGCTCCCTGGAAGAAAGAACTCGGCAATCTGCTTCCGTCAATATTATAGCCAAGACACTCCTATGGGGCAGTTCTGCTCTGTCACATGGGATTCATGTGAGTCAACATGGACTCTGCTGCACTCAACAACAGTAGAGGTAGTACATATTTGTCCCATGCAATGTCTATGAGGTGACTCAACTGGAGCCTGGAGGGTCCACTGTCAGATGACTTGAATGGCTGGCAAATTGGTACTGGCTTCTGAGTAAGAGCTTAGCTAAGGCTTTGGGCAGGAAACCTTGTTTCCTTGTTATGAGCTGTTTGGGCTTTCACCCTATATGACAGTTGAATTCTAAGAGTGTGTGTGTATCAAGAAAACCAGATTGAAATTGTGTAGACTTGTATGGCCTTGTAAGCCACATAGCATTAATACCGTCATAGTAGCAAGTCTGTCCAAAATCAAAAGGAAGACACATAAAACCTACCTCTCGATGGGCAGTGTCTCAAAGTCACATTATATGAATAGCATATGGGATGATGGGATGTGAGACATTGCTGTGGCCATACAACCTGCCACGTTATGAGAATAATGATATTGTTTAGTGAAAGATAAGAAATGCAGTGTGACGCAGAAAGGTCAGCTAGACAGGACCTTACCAAATGACACTGATTTTGTCCAAAACCTTTGAGTCTATCAATGTTCTTGGGTATAATCATGCTTTGGGAAGCTGACACACACATCAAGTCCTCAGGAGAGGGACAGATACACACACATCAAGTCCTCAGGAGAGGGGTTCCTGCCCTCCACGGGGGTCGTGGGACATGAGTGAATACGCGGAAACGTCAGGTGAAGAAATGAATGAATACAACTCTAGAGGCTTTTCAACTAGCTGTTGCTGTCCGGCTATGCTCTCTAGCTTCTGCCCTTGCTTCTGCTTCCTGTTCTCTTTGCTGTCTGCCCTCTGCTCTCTGCTGTCTGTTCTCTGCCTTCTCCCTCCTGCTCTCTTCTTCTTCCTCCTAGCTCTGCCTTCCTTGGCTCTGTCTCTACTTCTTTCTGCTTTCTTTCTTTCTTCCTTCTGCCACTTCTCTGCCTTCCTCTGCCTTCTGCTAGCCCAGCCCAGCAAGTCTTTATTTTTTATACTTAAAATTACACAGTACATGCATTGACACTTTTATCATTTCTTGAATTATTACACAGTTAGTCACAACATTCTTGCACTTGGTCATTAGACAGCCTTAACAAGAATACTTCTATGATGTTCATGTTCTTTTCCAGTATGAGATAAAACGGTTTCTTCTTGTTTCTACTAAAAGACTATAAACTTCTATCCTATATAATGTGCTATTATCTTCATCATAAAGATATTCATTAAATCACTTAAGAGCTATGTGGCATAAAGCCCAACCTGGCTACTTGCTGCAAGAAGTGTAGATTATAAAGTCAAAACTATTCTTCACTTAAGTTCATTATTGTCTACTTATTTATGCAGGTGTTTGTATGTAGGGGTTTGAGAATTCTAGCTAGTGACTGAATGTGGTGAGGCCTATGGGGGTAGGTCAGCTTGACTCTAAATGCTATCTGCTTTTGTGGCCCCACAATTTCTATGGAAAAGGAGTAATTTACACAATTTCTCTTTGTATTCAATCCACCAAGGCTGAAAGCAATTGCTGCTAAGCTAGTTTTTCCTAAGGTTGTAGACTCATAGTGAAAGCTGAGAATATTGCCAAATTATATATTTTTACAAGTAAATTCAGGGCTAACTTGAAGGGAAGATAGGGGTCAGCTTTTGAGAATCATATGCCGTGCATAATGTCTCTCCTCTTAGTGCGGCCTTGCCAAGCACCCAGAGTTAAGCGCTTCCCGCACACTAGAATTCCAAATACAATCATTTGCAATGAGACATAGTTTTTCTGTTTAGTTAAGCCTTGTATAGATATTTTTATCTTTTTCATTTTGCTTTTGACCTCATGTCTTCAGCTAATATCTGCAGTGATAAAATTTTATTCATCTTATGTAGATTTTAAGACGTTGTTGTTAAGTGCCGTTGAGTTGGTTCTGATTCATAGTAACACTGTATAGGGTTTCCCAGGCACGGCTGGTGGATTCGAACCACTGATCCTGTGGTTTGAACCAATCTTGCAGTCTAGTGCTTCATCCCACAGCACCACACCAGGACTCCAGAGCATAACATTATTTACCAAGTGCTTGAAGAGACAATGGTGCAAGAGAATATAGTGTGATAAAGATTTTCTAAACGTGACACAAAATGTTGTTGTTGTTGAGTGCTGCTGAGTCAGTTCTGACTCACAGTGACCCCTGTATAGGGTTTCCAAGGAGATGCTGATGGGTTTGAATTGCAGATCTTGTGGTTCAAACTGACCTTGCAGTCCATTGTTTTATTCTACAGTGCCACACCAGGACTCACAAAATAACAGCGGCTTCAATAAGATAAAAGTTTATTTCTTTATATAGAAGACTAGGTGGGTGATTCAGCATAGCTCTGTCACTCTGTGGTGTCAGGAATATATGCTCCTTCTATTTGTGATTCCAGTTTACAGCATCTGTGTCCCCAAGTTTGCCTCATGGTCCAAAATGGCGGCAACTCAGTTCTAGTTAACAAAATAGAGGAAAAGATACAGATGAGACCATGAACAAGTTATCTCCAAAGGCAAGTCCCAGGAAGCTGACCCCTAATTCTTCTTTCATTTCATTAACTGGAACACAGTCTTAAGGTCACACCTTGTACAGGAAGTTGAAAGAGGTAATATTTAATCTTGGTGGCCATATAACCAGCTCAACATACTAAAACTTTGGAAGAAGGGCAAGGCCGATTTTAGGAAACACGAGTAGCTTAGTCTGCCACAGTGGGTAAGCAGAAAGTGGAGTCAATGTGGACTACTGGTTTTGGACTTTGGTCAAAGCGTTTATGATGCTAACATTTACTATTGTGGTGGTGAGTATTGTGTGTCATGGTGTCGATTCTGAGGGGTTAATCTTTATGGGAGCACAAAGTCTCATCTTTTTCCCTTAGAGCAACCAGTGGATTCAAACTGCTGACCTAGTGGTTAGCAGTCCAATGTGAAATATACAAAGGAAGAAGAGTTTTGAAGGGAAATGATGAGTTCAGCTTGGCCTGAGTTTGAGGCATCAATTAATGGAATTCGTCCGGTAGGCAGTTGAGCATGTGGGTTTGGAATTGAGAAGATTGATGAGGACTACAGATATAGATTTAGGGAACTGAAGCATGTAGCTCATCATTGAAATAGATGAGATTGCTTATGGAGTTAGAGAAGGGCAAATAAGAAGGCCAAAGAAAAACCCGATTAAAGCCACCTTGAATGCAGCGTAGGAGTGATGGGTGAGGGAAGAGAAGGAAGATTCTCTCAGGAAAAGAGATTAAGGCCAGTGAGAAAACTAAGACAAAATCCTGGAGCCTGAGGAGCCATAGAGACATCAGTTATTGAAATCTCAAACTGCTGTGGCTTACCACAGTGTAGGTGTTACTATCTTCCATGATTCAGTGGGTTGATTTGACAGTTCCCTGTTCACTTATACAATGAGCTCATGGCCCCATAGTGGCTAGAGGATCTAAGATGGCCCTACTCACTCATCTAGGGTCTGGGTGCCCTCACTAACCTAGCCAGGGCTGTATTTATCAGGCTGTATGACCTTGGGACCAGTTACTGACCTTTCTGGGCTTCAATCTCCCACATGTGTAATGTGGTAGTAGTGCTATCTATCTCTTGCATTACTGTGGTGTGGCTGAGGATCAATTATAAGGTTTGTAAAGCCCCCATACATGGAACACACTCAATAACTGGTAGCTACATATATGTCTTATGTGTGTCTGACTATATGCATCAAGTCCAATAAAATAAATGTGAGTGGAAGTAAATGGTTTAGAAATTACAAAAGAATGTTAGACAAGATGTGATTTGGCAAGTCTGGGGGAAATTTCATCATACTAAAGGAGGACTCTCTCACATTACATATACTTATGTAGAAGGGATTCAAATGGTATTAGGCAAGATGACTTCAATTTGATTTTAATAATCCTTTGTTGCTTTCTACCATCACTGTCAGAAGCTGTGTCGAGATTAGCAGTCAGTCTTCACACAGTGTTTTCTATTAAGAAGTTTATGAATACAGAGAGGAATTTGTATCACAAATGCTTGGATGAACAGGGTTCTTTTTCTCTTTAAGTAATGGTTACTTAAATTCCATAGTCTTAAAATTTGATAGCATCTTTTTAGAACCTAATAAAATAAAATGATAGTTAAACAGATTCATAGGTTATTATGCCCAGCATATATAGCTGAATGACTAAATTTTTATATCTGCCGGAAGCAAAGCAGAGCCATACTTCTTTTGTTTATTAGTGTTGTTTATTATCCTCTTAATTTTTAACTTAGTTTTTTAAACCCATTATATTTTTTCACGTATAGGAAAGGTATACTAGTATGTGTGCATGCTACTGACAATAAAGTGTCTACCACCAAGCTTAAGGAAAAAATGAGAGATAAGTAAATTTTGGTGTAATTTTTTAGAGACTTAAAAATGTTTTTAAATGAATTTTAATAGTAAATCTCAGGAATTACAAAAAGTCCAGTATATCTTAATTAATAGGACTCTTTAAAGAGAAAAATTGAGAATTCTGCCTTCAGTATGTTGTTACTATTGTTAAATACTCTAGAGTTGGTTCTGGTTCATAGCAACCCTGTATACGGTTTCCAAGGAGTGGCTGGTGAGTTTGAACCACCGAGCTTGTGGTACAAAATGACCTTGCAGTCCAGTGCTTATCCTACAGCTTTTACTCTTGGTATAGCAGCTTGTATTCATGGTGTGGCACTTTAGGGTGATCCCTGAACTGCTAGCCAAAAGGTTGGTGGTTCAAACTCACCAGCCACTCCTCAGAAGCCCTATACAGGATCACTATGAGTCAGAACCAACTTGATGGCATTTAACAACAACAACAATGCCTAGGATATTGATCTTTATGCGAGTGCTGTGGCTTCGTAGGATAATCACTGGACTTGCAGCCACCAGGTCGGTGGTTCAAGCCCACCAGCCAATCCATGGGGAAAAAATGAGGCTTTCTGCTCCCCCAAAATTTAACAGCCTGAGAAACCCTATACAGGGTCACTAAGAGTCGGAACCGACTCTACAGAGCTTAACAACAGCAATAACACATTACAGTGAGAAATAATAATACTAATGTGTATCTGCTCTCCTTCTCTGGTGAAAAATAACCTAGATCTCAAGTTTTCACCATTAAAAAAAAGTCATGATTTCTCCCCAAATGTGTTTATTTCCATGACTGAATTTAACAAGCACATACTGAGCACCTGCTGAACAGCAGGCATCCTGCTAAGCACCAGAGAGATAAAAGTGATTAAGCATCCCTCTGCTGAGGAAGGACAAGGTGGAGACACAGGAACAAATCACTAGCAGAACGGCATAGCTGCTGTACGTAGCGAATTACAAAGGACAACAAATAAAGAGGCGGTAAATTCTGCTGGGGCTGAAGGTCTTGGAAAGCTGCAGGGAACCAGAACATTTATTGTAATCAATAATTTACCCGCCCAACTCCTGCTCTAGAACCACCTTCAACTTGTTATTCCTACCATGTCTAGTATAGTAGCTAGACTGGCACATAGTAGGTGCTCAAGAAATATCTGTAGAATGAGCTTTAAATGAGGAGCAAATCCAGGCAGAGAAAATAGCATGCATATTTATCACTGCAGCTTACACATGTTCTTGGCAATTCAGAATTTATGTTTGTTTTTTATGGTTTAAGCATTCTCTCCTTTGCTTTTCACTAGGATATTGACAGCACAGATCTTGACCGATGGTGTGAATACATCATGTATCGAGGGCTGATCAGGTGAGCACAGGTGTTTGATTGTTTTCTTTTTAATCTTTTATTACTGTGATCTTCTAGGTCTCTCCTAGCAGGAAAAAAAAATGTTATGAAAGCAATTAATTTTGTTACTGTTTATAAACACTGCTTTGACTAGTTAAGCAGCTTAAAAAATGTTTTTTAAGCATGGATTAATAATTTAAGAAGGAATAACCCTTCATTCATTCATTTGACAAGTGTTTATTAAATGCTTATTATGTGTCAGACATTAACTTGAATGGTGTGGATATAACAGGAACAAAACAAAATCCTTTGTTATCATAGTGCTTACATTGCAATGGAAGGAGATGGAAAACAGCAAGGATAAATCATGGACTCTGACAGGCAGTGGTGAGCAAGCTAGGCAAGGAGAAAGGGATGTGCTGGAGTTTCTATGATATGTGATAGGGGGTGAATCCCTCTGAGGGGGTGATGTTTGGGCAGCAGTCTGGATGAAAGGAGATAGTTAACCTGTGTATATCTTGGGGGACAACAAGCACAAAGTTTTGTGAAAGGAGTGTGATGTTTTTGAGTGTGGCTGGAGTGGAAGGGAGAAAGGTAAGGAGGTGCAGATTGTGTTGGCAGTGGATTGAGTCGCAGGTCCCTGTTCATCTAGGGATCTGAAGTCAGTGGAGAGAACGTGCTGCAATCGGGGACCTTCCCTGGAGTCCCCAGAGCCTCCTCCTGTAGGACAAAATCTGACCTTTATTACCTTCCAAAATCTGACCTGGGAACTCAGGTGTGGACTTCTAGGATGGACTTCTCCAGGCCTTAGCCCCTTATCCATACACAGCAGCTCAGCAGCCAGAGGTGTCTTAATCTTGTCAGCTGAAGGATAGGGACTGGTGGTTGATCCGACCATCCCTTAAAAAACAAAACACGATTGCTATCAAGTTGGTTCCGACTCATGGCAACCCCGTGTATTGATGAACAGCACTGTGCTCCATAAGCCTGCCAGTGGCTGTGGTCTTTGGGAAGTGGATCACCAGGCTGTTCTTATGAAACACCACTTATTGGATTCAGATCCCTAACTGTTCAGTTAGGAGCCATGTGCTTAGCTATTTATGCCCCTCCTGGACGCCTCATCCAGTGGGTACCAGAGCTGACCAATTATAAGGAACAGTCCAGTGAAGTTAAACTTTAGGTGCTCTTGCTCTGTACCCTTATTTGTCATTCAGCAAGCATTGATCAGACATGGCATGTATATGGGAAGTACCCAGGGGAAGGCAGTAACATACCGGGATTTCTACACTGGAGGAATGAGAATAAGCATAGTAAACAATTCCATGATGCTGTAGTTTAGGTGAGGAGTCCTACAGGAAAAACACAGAGCAATGTAAGAAGCATTAGGAGTAGGAAGATAGGGGTGCAATTGTAAATAGGGAGTTGGGTGGGTCATACCAGAAAATGATCATTTGGACCGAGATCTGAAGGAGTGAGCCGTGCAGTTATCTGGGAGAAGACTCATCCAGGTAGAGGACTGAGATAGTGCAAAAGCCCTGTTCCAGCAGTGTGGTATGGTCAAGGACAAGTAAAGCTAGTGGGTTGGATTGTATTGTGTGTGTTTAGGGTGTGTGGTGAGGGGGTGTGGTGAGGGACAGAGGTATGAGATAGAAAAGGTAAGGGGCAGTGTGTGGGCAAGGAGGGAAGGGGGCAAACCTCGTATGGTTCCACCCATCCTTGTTGAGAACTTTAGATATTACTCTGAGTAAAATGGTGATATGTTTTGGTTCCTATACAACCCCCTCCACCTTTTGTCTGTCAGTTTGTCATACTGTGATGGCTTGTGTTTGTAATATTGTGATGCTGGAAGCTATGCTACAGATATTTTAAATACCAGCAGGGTAACCCATGATTGACAGGTTTCAGTTGAACTTCCAGACAAACAAAGACTAGAAAAAAGGAGAGACAGACTACTTCCAAATATTTAGTCACTGAAAACCTTATGAATAGCAATGGAAAACTGTCAGCACCAGACTATTGAAACATGATGAAGACTACCAGAATATAGTGGCAGAAGATGAGCCTGTCAGGTTGAAAGGCACTCAAAATATGATAGGGGAAGAGTTGCCTCCTCAAAGTAGAGTTGACCATGATGACACGAATGGAGTATAGACTTCAGCACCTTCATTTGCTGGTTGGGCACAACTCAAAATGAAGAGAAACAACTGTAAACATCCATTAATAATTGGGACATGGAATATACAAAGTATGAATCTATTGGAAGTTATCAAAAATGAAATGGAATGCATAAATATCAACATAGCATTGTGGTTAGGAGTCGGGATGCTAACCTTAAGGTTAGCAGTTTGAAACTACCAGAGGTTCCACAGGAGAAAGATTTGCAGGCTCAGAAACCCTATACAAGGTCGCTATGAGTCGGAAATGACTCCACAGCTCACAACCACCAACCACCACCACCAGGCATCAGTGAGCAAAAATGGATTATAAGTCATATGGCTTACAATGCCAGGAATGACAAACTGAAAAGGAAACGTGTTGCATTCATCATCAAAAAGAACATAACAAGATCTGTCTTGAAGTACAACACTGTGATAGGATAATATCCATTCCTCTACAAGGAAAACCAGTTAATACACAATTATTCAAATTTACACACCAACCACTAAAGCCAGTGATGATGAAATTGAAGAAGAGTATGCCATCAGGATTGGGGGAAGACTCGTTGAGAGCTTGAGATATGCAGACGACACAACCTTGTTGCTGAAAGTACAGAGGACTTAAAATACTTAGCGATGAAGATCAAAGACCACAGTGTTTCATATGAGTTGAACCTTAATGTAAAGAAAACAAAAATCCTCACCACTGGACCAATAAATAACATCCATACAAATGGAGAAAAGATTGAAATTGTCAAAGACTTCATTTTTCTTGGTTCCACCACCAATACTCATGCCAAGAAACCAAACACTGTACTATTGCATAAGGCAAATCTGCTGCACAAGACCTCTTTAAAATTTTCAAGTGTAAAGCTGTCAGTTTGAGAATAAAAATGTGCCTGACCCAAGCCATGATCTTTTCAATAGCTTCATATGACTGTGAAAGTTGGACAATAAATAAGGAAGACTGTAAAAGAATCAATGCATTTGAGTTGTGGTGTTGGAGAAGAATATTAGAGGTAATATGGACTGCCAGAAGAGCAAACAAATCTGTGTTGGGAAAAGTACAACCAGAATGCTCCTGAGAAGTCAGGATGGCCAGGCTTCGTCTCTCATATTTCTGGCATGATGTCAGGAGGGGCCAGTCCCTGGAGAAGGACATCATACAAATGAGAATGTAGAGACAGCAAGAAAGAGGGAGACCCTCAACGAGATGGATTGTCACAGTGGCAGCAGTAATGATGGGCTTAAGTGTAGCTGCAATTGTGACCATTGTGCAGGATCGGTCAGTGTTTCATTCTGTTTACATAGGGTCACTATGGTGGTGGTGGTGGTGGTTATGTGCTGTGGAGTGGGTTCCGACTCATAGTGACTCTGTACAGGGTTTCCGAAGCTGTAAATCTTTATGGGAGCAGAAAGCCTCATCTTTCTCCCACGGAACCACTGGTAGTTTCGAACTGCTGACCTTGAGATTCATAATCCCAATTCATAACCACTATGCTACCAGAGCTCCTTAGGGTTACTATGGTCAGAACCTACTCAATGGCACCTAACAAGAAGCCCAAGACCTGCATTACCTCGCCTCGAGAATGGGTGGCATGGTTAAATATGAATATAAACAGAAATTTATGAGCTTGGTGACACAGTGGAGTAAACATTGAGCTGGTAAACAACATGGTCGGTGATTCAAATTCACCAGCTGATCCTCAGGAGAAGCTGTGACTATCTGTTCCTGCCGTGATTTATGGTCTCAGCATCCCCAAGGATCATTTATACTCTTTCCTATAGGATCCCTGTGTGTCAGAATCAACTCGATGGCAGTGAGTTTGGTTTTGGTTTGGTATTTATATGTATGTATATATAAAATCAGAAGGAGCTCTGGTAGCGTAGTGGTTACGAACCGGGCTGCTAACCTCAGGGTCAGCAGTTCGAAACTACCATCTGTTCTGCGGGAGAAAGATGAGGCTTTCTGCTCCTGTAAAGATTTACAACCTTGGAAACCCTGTACAGGGTCGCTATGAGTCGGAACCAACTCCACGGCACATACAACAACAACAACATATATAAAAAATCAGAGTCCTGGTGTCTTGCTATAGGATAAGCACTGGTCTGAAAGGGCGGCTTGAACTGCAAGGTAAGCAGTTCAAACCCACTAGCCACTCCTTTGAAAGTCTATTCAGGGTAACTATGAATTGGAATTGACTTCATGGCACTTATCAACAACAGTATATACATATATTGAGTATGGTGGCTCCGTATGATAAGCACTGGACTGCAAACCACAAAGTTGACAATTGAGGATATTTCCATTCTATACTCTGCTGTTACGCTCAGTACACTGACCAAGAAAAAGTTCAAAAGTCAGCCATCAGCTAGAAAATTGATGCTTACAGTTTTCTGGGATTTTCACAGGCCAGTATTGAAACTCTATCAGGAAAAAGTTTCAACAATCAACAGTGCTCATTATAAGGAGCTGCTTACTGAAGATCTGAAACCTAAACTTCAGATTAAACACAGAAGACTGCTATCCAAAGGGTGTTGCGATCTTGCATGACAATGCACATCCACACACCTGTGCCCACACTGTTGACACCATGCAGAAACTTCATTTTGTGGTGTAAAGCATCCTCCCTATAATCCTGATCTTGCTCCATTGGACTTTCACCTGCTTGGTCCCCTGAAAGCAGCCCATCAAGGACAAAGATTCACCTCTGATGAAGTGAAGACAGTGATGCATTCATGGCTCAAAGTTCAGCCTTAAACATTTTAAAATAAGGGAATATGAAAGTTTGTTGACAGATAGACAACATGTGTTGAAAAACAAGATTATGTCGACAGTTGATTAAAGTAAATTCTGCAGCCAAT